ATTATCACAGAAAATGAAACTTATAATTTATAAGATTATTTTTAAAAACAGAATCAAATACAGTACGGTAGATACAATTTTTATTTAAAAGCAGGATTTGCATGGACGTGATTTTATTTAATATGCTGATTATTAATTATCTCATTAATCAAACTATGGTAAAATTATTATTATTATTGTTGTTGTTGTTGTTGTTGTTGCTGTTGCTGTTGCTGTTGCTGTTGCTGTTGCTGTTGCTGTTGCTGCTGTTGCTGTTGCTGTTGCTGTTGTTGTTGTTGTTGTTGCTGTTGCTGTTGCTGTTGCTGTTGCTGTTGTTGCTGTTGTTGTTGTTGTTGCTGTTGCTGTTGCTGTTGCTGCTGCTGCTGTTGCTGTTGCTGTTGCTGTTGTTGTTGTTGTTGTTGTTGTTGTTGTTGTTGCTGTTGTTGCTGCTGCTGCTGCTGCTGCTGCTGTTGTTGTTGTTGTTGTTGTTGTTGTTGTTGTTGTTATTATTATTATTATTGTGTTATGTATACATGAATATATGCCTAGGCCTAATATATAATATATTCGATTAATTAATAGCAGCTTTTCCGCAGCTGTGCCGATAGAAATCAGCAACTTTTTCGCACTGCGGCAGTGCCGATAGAAAACAGCAGGTCTTTGGCACTGCGGCAGTGCCGATAGCCACTGCTGTATACACCATGGAGGATTGCTCGCACGAACGTGAGGTGGAGGACGACATGAAAGCTATGCATAATTATTACAAAAAATACATAGCTTTAAAAAAACGTTGTGATTCCATACACTTAGTAAGTTATGTTGATTGATTTCTATTACGAAAAGGTAATTTTTTGTGTTTAGCTAGGTCTACCTAGCCTAGGCTAAATGGTGTTGGTTTTTCGGCCAACCGAGCCTAGGCTCCTGTCCTCCTCCTCCTAGGGCCTAGACTAACTAGGCCTAGGCTCTCGGCTAGGCCTACCCTAGGTCTATGCCTAAGGTAGGCCTACTATCTAGGCTATGCGGCTATGCCTACTACTACTGCCACTACCAGGGAAGCCCAGGCCCATATTCTTTTTTAAAAAAAACTGACTTTGATTTGACTTGGAACGGAAGGGGCCAGGCACTCACTAGGCCTAGGCTGTAGCCTAGGACTACTTCCCAACTTTTTATTCAGGAAACATGCAGAAACTGATACAGTGCCTAGGCTAGGACTACATGGCAGGCACTTTAGAAACAGGACTGACGGGTGGATGGTGGTTCTGTGCTATCAGAGCATGAAAACCACAGACGTAAACACTTGGGCGCTCAACCCGAATTGTCGTTGTCGATGGCTCCCCCACCCCCTCTTCTGTAAAGTGCTTAAGATTTAGCCTGGCCAAAAATCTTCCAATTGACAATATTTTTCTGTCTTTCCTTAGGGAAGCGAGAGATTGGTTAACCGCATCTACTATATTAAGAAAGCAATTCGCAAGTTGTCACGGGAGCGCAGGTTTGTCATTCATCAAGCATGAATCTAAGATATGTCTATGTGCTTTCTACTTTTAGTTCACAGAATGAATGTAAATCCCAATACGATATTAAAGTGAGGCCATGTTTCAATATTTCAATTGTGGAAACATGAAATTGCTCCTTTATATTAGTAGCCTATAAGAAATGTGAAGTCGATAGCCTTTTTTTATGTGCGTAGAAAACAAGGTCTTACTACAAGATGTACAGCATACAGTAGTTACCAACCTGAGAGATTTTAAATGAGTAACTATACACCAGTTGGCTGGGTGAACAGGGCCATTAGGTCCCCCTGGATCCAGGGGCAGAGCACGAGTGGGGATCCGGGTTTCAGTCACATTATAAACGGTTGGTTGTGACAATGAAGGTGCAAGACCGCACGTTCCTCCTAGATTCTACTGAGTGTGTGGTTGGCTGGGTTGTTTTGGTCGAGAAATTTTCTCGGTAAATTGATTCTCGAACGAGATAATGATAGCCTTCTAATGACTCAAGTTACTGCATGACCGTTTTAATTTTTTCAATAAAACCAATTTCTTCTGATTTTTAAATACATTTTCGCCTGAATTTGTGATAATTTGTTATTATGCATTAACTTATGCTAAATGCGTCACGGTGATAAAATGTGTTAATGCAAAATGCGTGTTTCATCCAAAACCACTTTAAAATGTAGGACTAGATTACTAAATGTGTTTTTATTGTTCTATTGATTGTCTTGTTACAGGGCTTTAATTGCAACTTTAGATGAATATGGTGATGACTGTAGAAATGCTCCTTTGATAATTGCTGTTGAGGTAAATATGAAAATTCTTTTTAAAAAATAAATTATCAGTGTATGAAATACAGTGTGAAACTCGAGCAGTCACTCCTTAGAGTTCATACCTCAGTCTGTACCTGAATACCGAACAGTGTATGGGTGATTCCATTATTTTCTTTAATGCTCAAGAGTAAGTTCTTAGGAAAAATCAAATATCACTGACCTTGATCTTTGACCTGTTATTAAGTTAATATCTTAGAATATCATATACCATTCCACGAAAATTTATGATGATCCATTCTGTTTTTTCTGCATGATCTTGCAGACAGACAAACAGACGGACAGGCTGGGGTAAATACATGTCATAAACTCTGTTGCAGAGTAGAGTGCAAATACACTTTAATTTTTTTACCTTTTGACCTCTGTTGTGTTTGCAGGATGATGTGCCCCTCTCTGCTCTAAACTCATCCGATATAGGTGCAGATATTTCTGATGTTTCATTGGACATTCCACATAAGAGTAAGAAATTATCACTTAGTCCCCCTCTGAGTTTGTCAAGTCCCTCACCAACTCCAGTTACTACAAAACCAGCATTGCCCACACCAGTAGTAAGGAAGAAAAAGAGGAAGGAGGATAAACCAGAGAAGGAGAAAGGTAAATACTACAATATGCATCAACAGCTTTAATAATAATAATAATGGTTGACTTATAGAGCGAATATTATATAGACCTCTATGCACCTAACATAAACAAGAAAAATAACGTACCAGGAAAGTAATACTAATCCTATTCCTTAAACTAAGTATGGTTTGGCCATTGGCTGCAAGGAGCTCATCCAACCTTTGTCCAGCTTTTTTTTTTTTTTATTGCTTCTGGGTGGGCATTCACCCTTATACCCAAAGGCCACTGAGGCCATAGATGGGGGCTAACCAGTTTTATCGCGGCTTAAATTTGAAGGAATTATGTATTAAATAGATATTGTTTTAAACTAGACTTTTTTTTTTCAGTTGCTGGATATAGTTAAATTAAATTAAAAGGTTTCTTTATTCTTTATACTGGGAAAAACTGTTAAGTAGCATATGTACTGTTCTCCCATAGGTTCTATTTCAATATACTTTATAAAGCTTTTGAGTTTAAAATAAGGGGTAAATTGCTCAATTCTTTATTTAATAATTATTTAATTATTTATTTAAAAATTGTTGAATTTTTTTATTGCTATTTCTGAGTATTTCAACCTGAATTTATGTTTTTTATTTGCAGATCCAAATGCTCCAAAAAAACCTGCAAATGCTTACTTAATGTTTTGTCAACAAGAGAGGGCGCCAGTCCAAGAGGAGCACCAGAGTCAAGATAAGGATGAAATCTCACATCAAGAGCTAACTAAAGAGCTTGCTAAAAGATGGAATGAACTTACCAGTGACCAAAAACAGGTTTGTTTTCATCATATCAGTAGACAATATGTAAAATGTGATAGCACATAGCTGAAGAATTATTTTGGTAATTTGATCTGTATCACTTTTTTCTTCAATTTTAACTAAAACTTGTATATTTCAGAAACTTAATTCCATTTGAGTAAATAATAGTAAAAATTTGCAGCTTACACATATACAAAATACAATGGCAATTGAAATCCCAGAACAAAACAAATCCACACCCCCCTCCCCACCACACACAAATTATTAGTATATTTTTGGCAAGAATTGCAGCAGTGACCATAATAATATTAGTTAATAGACTTACTAAGGGCTTTTCCACATGCTTAGTACATTCTCAAAAAAATCTAACATGATGTGACTAGCAACTGATGTATGTCCCAAGTGTAAACTAGGCGATATTGTCTTGCGAAGACCTCACTGACTAAATTTTATAAACAATTTTAGTTTGTCAATAATAAGTTTTACATAGATCCAACCCACCTTAATACATATTTTTGGATTAGAGAATCAACATAAAGTTGAAAAACATTTTTTTTCTCTCTTTTAGGCCTATTATGACATGTATGAAAAGGATAAACTTCGATATGAAAGGGAAATGCAAGAGTACAACTCTTCTTTTCAAAGCGCCACCAACAGTACTAATAGCTCAAGTAACTTAAAACCAATTAAAGAAGATAAAACAATTGCAAGCATAGTGCTGCCTACTTCAACAGCCACACCACCCAAGATCAAATCCGAAAAGCCACTTGAATCAGCATATTCTAGAATTAAAATGGAACGACAGGAATTGGCTAAACTGAAGATGGAGCAATTGGAAGTCCCAAAGCCCAAACCACCACCCCCTGAAGACTATGATCCTTATAACTTTGATGATGAAGAAAATAAACGACGACCTTGAAATGTGGTTTCAATTTTTTTATTTTATTATGGTGGAATATAGGCCTAGTTAGAGAGCAGCAAGAATGTAGAGTTAAAAATGTGGAGAGCTTGAAAATTTGTGGTGAAAAAGGGTATAAGGACTAACTGCATTGATTATTTAAGCTTAAAAATAATTGCAAGATTTTAGGTCTCTTAAATTCAGATGTGTATGTATTTTAGATTTATTTGTTAGAAATATTTACCATTAAAACATTTCTATAATGTGTGATTTACAGTTTAATAATAGTATGTTTGTCAGGGGGGGATCCAGGACATTTATATCAGTATGGCTATCAAAACTTTCAGAATTGATTACCATCACCATGGAAGTATGGTATCCTTATAACACAGTGTTGTTGACAAACATATAATGTCTTGTAAAAAAAAGTTTTAGACTTTCACCGTATTTATCCAAATAATTGCTATGCAATAAAAGCTTTAGACTTTCACCGTATTTATCCAAATAAATGCCATGTTGAAAAGTTTTTTGAGAGTGCATGTATTTATTTTTTTGTTGGATATAACATCAAATATACTCTAGCAGTGATGCTATATTGACATGTTTATGCGCCCTGTCATTGGCATTTGTGCTGTTGTTATTCATACAAACGTCCGTTATTATGGAACAGTTTAACTTAGTATAAAACAAACTTAAAATAAAATAATGAAGATGCGTCATTAGGATTCAATATTTCGAGACCTTTAATTAGATCATTATCAACATCTTTACAATTACCAAAAGAGTTACAGAAAGCAACCAATGAGCCTCAATAAAGTGTAGGTGATTAAATGTATGGGAATGAACTATCATCAGAGAGAAAATAAAATGGGTGTTATAAAACCTGCAATATGGATGGTAAGATGAAAGATATCTAATATTACAATCGTGAGTAAATTCGCCGTACGATTCACATCAAATTTGAACAGTACTGACTTTGGTCTGCAGGAGTTCATGCTTCCATCAGATCATAGAAAAACCTTAAATTGAGAAAGCATACATGTCGTCAGCCATAGTAGCCTAGGTCTAAATGCAACTCACTCGGGCTATATAGAATTAATTATAAGATGGGAAATTGTTAATAATAATAATGTCCGTGTCAGTGGAATTGTTTTTTATCCAATCAGAATAAACCTTTTACGATTCAAGAAGCTATGAAATTATTGTATTCATCATTCTTATTCCAGAGGGGACAACACGAGTTTTGATTGGTAAATAACCGAAATGGCAACTTTTAAAAACAAACAACCCTCTGAAAATGGTCGGAAATTGGACGACGGGCAGGTAGCATGTACCATTCGAAAAGTAAAAAAAATGACGGTGATTTTGGTATAAATGATAATAACTTCATCACACTACAAAGTTTGGTGTATTTAATGTAATAGTTGAAGTAGGTTTTGAATGATTTACATGCCGGTACATTTAGTATCAAGCATTTTGTGTAGTTCGTTTAAAATTAGTATCTAAATAATTTAAATTATTCTAGGTATTGACTTACATTTTCAATAATATATTCCATGGTGCTGCCAAAAAAAATTTCGACTAATTACCAGTGTGCACTTCGGCTCGTGTACACTATAAAGAACCCAGTACATCATTCGAGACGGGTAGGGGGATACCCCGGTGTACTGGTACAAACGGCCCCCGTTGTGGACGACGAGAATTGCACCGGGTTACCGGGTAGGAATAAGGAACCCTTATATGAATTTCTATTTAGATTTACACCTACAAGATATGCAACACTCAGAAAAAAAAAACCCTATTGGTTTTGTTCTGGATTTCATTGAAAGATGAATTTATTTTTTGAGGTATTTTCCAACTATATTAGTAATCACATAATAGTAACTTGTAATCATCTATTATTCATTGTGACTTAAACAATATCATAAAAAAAGCTGTCTTAATGGAAATAGCTAAGAAAGTAAGCCTATTATGAGAGTAACTGGATGGTTGGAACTTCCAATACATATTTCTAAAAACAAATTACTGTAAAAACATAGAATATAGTGATGAAACATTCTAGCTCTAGGCCTACTGTTTTCGTTACTTGATGTCGATTCTATTCTTCCTTTCTGCTTTTCTCTGTAAAAATAATTGTGAAAAGTTATTGTATTTCCTTATGTTATAAAACATATTGTAAACTGACGAATGTGGGTTGTTCCATTATTTGGGGGGGGGGGGCAGGTGAAATTTCCATGGATATTGATATTGTTCTGTATATTATTTTTATGCTCTAGCAATTAATAATGCGATTTTCATGTTGGTATACCTTTATGCATGCATGGATGTATTATGACATTCCAGCATTCACATAAAGAGAAAGAAATCGAATGCTTTGATGGATAACAACTTGAATTGCTCGTGTCCCCTATATTATGGCATGTTTTCGCTGACATGAAAAGGTGCTTCTGTAGTCCTGGGAAAACGATTTAAATCTTGTGAATTTGATATATTGTACCGTTAAATAAAATATGAAGAACGATCACATATTCCATTGTGTTGTTATTTTCTTATGTCCGATTGTATTCGTACACAAAATTAAATTTCCCCCTGATTTCGAACAAAATAAGCAGCGGCGTGAAATGCTTGGTAAAATGATACTGTAAAACAGAAAAATAAAGGAATCAACTCGAGCACCCCTAACATAAACACGACACGATGAGTTTCGTGTCCATATTAATTATTTACGTGGTTGGGATAAACGTGCTAAAATTTCTTAATTAACGACAAAGTTATCAATTACTGTAAACTAATCAGCTTCCATCAACTATTCACTATCCTAAATGTGGTACCATGCTTAGTGGCATCGCCGACGATTATGCTTATTTGGTCGGTCAAACCGGGTCGCCTTCCTGTTGCTCTGCTACTCAGTATTGCAGTGAAAACACTGCTGTGACATTTGTAGCGATTTTTATGAAACTAGGCTTGATAAATGCTTATCAATTACAGTACTTTCGATTAATATTTTAGCCATCATAATAAGCTAAAGAGAGATGAGTATACAGTTTAACTTACCAAAAAACAAAGTTTACAGCAATGGCAAAATGAATGACAGCAATAACACAATGATTATTTTAGTTATGGATCCACCTGACATTCCTCTACCAACATTGACTTCTTGTTCTTCGCTTAATACTTCGCCTCTCTTTACCCCGACAACACTGACTCCGATTGCTGTTGCAATATCGTAACTGTTAATTGATATGGCATCGTAGAGGATGTCCTGATCAAGATAAACTGTGCAATTACATTGCCAAATTTCATTATTAATATCTATATACTTTATATACCTATATATATAT